CATGACGAGTCGACCTCGGCTATCTGGATAAACAAGCGAGAAGGACATGGTGGTGGCATCAGTCATTTCAAAGCCTTGGTCTGGCAACTCTTCATCACCACGCTCATCCTTGACAGTCTTTTGTACCAATTCGTACAATTCCTTCAACGTTGCATCTTTCCATGTGTATATCCGAAACTCTGGCAGCAGTTTGCCTTGTGCCTGTGGCACTATCTCTCCATCCTGTACTGTAACTCGACAGTACTGTGAATATTCCTCTGGCTCTCGCTTGACAGAGCCATCGCGGGGGAATACCCGAAGCAGCAGTGGACAAACGCTTTTCCTATCAATTGATATGCGTGACTTTGGCTTCCAGGTGCCACCCATCCGTCCTCCATAGCCTGAAGACCGACGACCAAAGTTGCCTCCACCGGACCGAGGAGGAAAGCTCCGCCTTCCCCTTGGTCTACTAGAATAGTTGCTATAGTTGCTACGTCTATAGCCATCGTCTCGCCTGACAGGTGAATATGAAGACCGACGGAAATTTCCACCCTCCTCTCGGTTGAAATGGACTGGTCCTCGACCTCTCGGTTGGGGTCCCATGGCAACTCTTTTACTACTATTTAATGCTACTACTATGAATGAAATTGAAGAATTCTATGAGAATCTTGTTGTTACTCACACGCAGAGAAAGAGTAAGACTTTTTATAAAGTCTAAATTTAGATGGACAGAGTAATTCGTTAGACTATCCAACGTTCACCTACATTATGCACCTACCGCATCAAAAGAAGAGTAGCAAATGTAAATTACTTGTTCAAGTAGATGAACCAAATGTTGAGATCAGATTGATGCACAAACACACCTAGGGCATTGAAAAATGAATCAACCCAAGAGGGCGCTGAGAGCATCTTTGCTGGCTTCTTCTGCTATATATAGAAGAAAATATTATACTTTTTTGGATACGCGCGGTAGTAGTCGGTTGAAACGGAGGGGTGTGGTTGTCAGAGCAACAGTTGACTATGAAGAGGATACAACTGGCAGTAGTAATAATAATACCACTACGTCTTTTCCTGATGGGATTCAGGGAGCGAAGAATAACATTATGAATAAAGGGCCATCGAAGATCTCAGAAGAGGTCAAGGAAGACGTGGTCGATGACAACGTGTCTCAGACGAGTGGAACACTGTGGGGGGCCATGGCACTGATTATTGGGAGTACAATTGGGGCAGGGATACTGGCTCTGCCTGATATTACACAGGATGCTGGGTTTGTTCCCAGTACGACTGGTCTGGTTGGAGTGTGGGCATTTTTGGTGGGGCAGGCATTGTTGTTGGCAGAGGTGAACATCAATCTGATGGAGATTCAGGCAGAGGAGGAGGAGGAAGAGGCCACATCATCATCATCATCAGATACTATTCTCACGTTGAGAACAATGGCTGAAAAAACGCTGGGAAAAGGGGTGGGTAAAGCAGCGACCGGGATATATCTGTCGCTGAGCTACTGCCTCTTGGTTGCATATTTGACAAAGGTGGGAGAAATTTTCTCTTTTGCATCGGATGGAAAGCTGCAATCAGGTACCATGGTGGATGTCTTTGCGCTTGGATCCTTGGGCATGTTTATGTTTGGTGGCCCTATGTTTGCTGACAAGTTGAATCAGGGATTGACGTCAGTGCTGGTAGCGCTGTTCATGTCTATTCTGGCACTGGGGATGGCACATACCAATTTGGATGTGTTGTTTGGTGGTGACAGCGTTCAGTCCTTCCAAGCTGTCGGCCCTGCGATACCAATCATGTTTCTATCTCTAGTATATCATGATTTGATTCCTCTGATTTGTTCATACCTTGGTGGGGACAGGAAGAGGACGCAACAGGCCCTTGTTTTTGGGAGCTTGGTTCCATTGGCCATGTTCGTCTCGTGGGAGGCAGTCACATTGTCATTCTTCAAGGAATACAATGCATCAGGTATTCACTCTACCGTGTATACATCGGGTCATATAGACCCCGTGAATCTGATGATATCTGCCAGTGGAAGCCCTCTCATTGGCAGCCTGGTTCAGGGATTTTCCTTTGTCGCCATTGCCACATCATTCCTGGGGACAACCATGGGAGTCTCAGAGACTATTCGATCCGAAGCATCCGAATTCGATACTGATGACGAGCAAAAGATGGGCGATGACGTCTTGAGAAATGTTGGCCTGACTGCAACGCTCATTCCACCTCTGCTCTTCACCACCTCTGGAGACCCCAAGGCATTCATTCAGGTCCTGTCCGTAGCTGGTGGCTATGGAATGACTCTTTTATATGGCATTTTCCCTCCACTCATGGCTTGGAAGCTGAGAGAGACGATGAAAGCCCCGAAATATGCAGTGCCTGGAGGCAACCTCATGTTGGGCTCCTTGCTCAGCATTGGCATATCTCTGGGGATCTACAGAGTCCTCCAGGACGCTCTTTGATGTATCTTTTTTTCGCAAGACCACGTGTACACTAGAGAAGCATTTGTTTGTATTTGTATTGTATTATTTGTACAGTAGTTGTTGTAACCCTGGTGACATTTGAATAATCCACATGTCTGGTTGTGACGCAGACGTCGCTAGTTTGGTCCGCCAGGCGATATACGACGTCAATCAGTCAACAATCGAAGATGAGGATATATTTGATTACTTGGTATCCGTCATTAGTGATGATACCTTTGAATTCGGTGAAAATGCGGAGGATGCACATGACACTCTGGGACCACTCTTGGTACGCTTTTTTTCCTCGATACTGATGGATACATGACACACTGCAGTACATCGACCCTATACTACATAAAATGCAGATTGATGCGCAATGCGCGTCGGATGAGGAGGAATCGCATCGACTTTGTAAGAAACTCCAAGAAGCACTGGAAGCAGTGAAAATTGGCAGCAGTGTGGAACCAAAGCCACTGGATCAAGGTCCAGTGCTGTTGGATGACTTGAACAAGATCCATCTGCACCCTCATGATGAAAAATTAAGCACTGGTGGGAAAAATGCAGTGACAAAGGACTTTTCTTTAATGTCAGAAAAGGATGCCATCAAATTGCAAAAGCAGGAGGAAAAGGCCATGAAATCCCGCAAAGCTGCGATGCTGTCTCACCAAAAGGAGTTGGAGCGGACGTTGCAATCAAAAGCAGTGCGGGTTGTTCGCCATACGGGGGGTCCAACGGTGAGGGATGTGTGCTTGGAAAATATCAATGTCTCAAACAAGGGCACAGAGTTGATCAGTGATTGTGACATCACGTTGGCGTATGGACGGAAATACGGCTTGGTTGGAAGGAATGGAACTGGTAAAACCACGTTTTTGAGGGCATTTGCAGCAATGGAGATTTCTGGCGTCCCCTGGAATTGCCAGGTTCTCCATGTGGAACAGGAGATTGCTGGTGATGACACATCTGTGATTGATGCCGTGCTTCAATGTGACCAGGAGAGACTTGACCTGTTGGAAGAGATGGAAAAGAATCCAGAAGATGAAGCTGTGATGAAGAGGTTGCATGAGATTGATGCGTTTGGAGCAGAAGCACGAGCTGCCATGATTTTAGCAGGCCTTCAATTCACACCAGATATGCAAAAGGTTTCTACAGCATCCCTTTCTGGAGGATGGAGGATGCGTGTAGCGTTGGCTCGAGCTCTGTTCGTTCAACCAGATATATTATTGTTGGATGAACCCACCAACCATTTGGACCTGCATGCTGTTTTATGGCTGGAAGAGTTTTTAGCACACAGGTGGCCAAAGACTGTCATCATTGTGTCCCATGCACGTGAGTTTTTGAACACAGTCTGCACGGACATTATTCATCTATTTGGTAGAAAATTGACTCCATATCGAGGCAATTACGACGTCTTCCTCAAGACAATGGAAGAACGCTTGAAAAATGAGCAGGTCCAGGCAGAGTCCATATCACGGAAAAAGGCACACATGCAAGCCTTTGTCGACAAATTTCGTTACAATGCAAAGCGAGCAAGCTTGGTACAGAGTCGTATTAAACAGATTCAAAAGCTAGATGGGGATGCACCAGAACTCTTGGGCAGCGAAGAGGAAGAGGATGTCCGCTACAATTTCATCTTCCCTCTGCCAGAGGATGCAAATTCCCTCGGAGGACAAATTATTTCCTTCAACGATGTATGTTTCAAATACGACACGCAACACGATTTGTTTTTCGAAAACCTATCGTTTGGAATTGATTTGTCTTCTCGAATAGTATTAGTGGGCAGCAATGGTATAGGGAAATCGACACTGCTGAATCTGATATCTGGCACCTTGGAACCCACACAGGGCCACATCTTTCGGAATCCAAAAGTACGCATAGCAGTATTCAGCCAGCACCACGTGGACGGCATAGATTTATCATTGACTCCTCTCCAGTACATGAAGCAATTCTTCCCCTCCAACAGCATCAGCGATTCCGCAGCAGAAGAAAAGTTTCGGTCCCACCTGGCATCCTTTGGCATTGACAGAGACTTGTGCGCACAGCCAGCCTACACGCTATCAGGAGGCCAGAAAAGCCGCGTCGCGCTTTCGAAAATCACCTGGGAGAAGCCTCACATTATATTACTGGACGAACCATCGAATCACCTGGACATTGACTCGATCGATGCCATGCTGACTGGACTCCACGACTTTTCCACCCATGGCGGTGGCATCCTTATGATTAGCCACGACCAATACTTGATCGAAAGCTTCCTTTCGAGTGACGACTCCAGTGAGCGCCCTGCAGGACAAATATGGCATGTCACATGCCACACTGAAACGTCGCAACGACGCCATATTGATGTCTTCCCAGGAAGCTTTCAAGACTACAAAAAGAGTCTGTATTCTGCTGCTTCATAGAAGAAGCGATCAGATTGTGATCATTCTTCCCTGTCATCATATTACTGTATGTAATAATAACAATGATTGTCTACTATCGAGGTATCTTGAAGCAGGAGGAAAAGCAAAATCATCATCACCACCAACAACAACACTTCAAGATGATGAGGGGTGAACAAAAGGAGAGTAGTCGTGCTCCCAGACGGGCTTGAACCGTCGACCTTACGATTATTAGTCGTACGCTCTAACCAAACTGAGCTATGGGAGCTTATACATCAAGGTATGTGTGCTTCCACGAATTTCCTCTTGGCTATATTGAGGTAATTGGCTTTATCGGAGGTGGCGGCTAACCGCAAAACGCATAGATAGCCCTTATTCTGCCCCTCTATTACACCGTACATATATGTACAATACTTTCATTGGAATATAAATATGTATACGAATAATCGATGCGCCCATATATATGGTACCGTAGTGTCATTTACCATTTGGATCTCTCCACTGGGGAGGTGGTCTTGAAAAGAGGTAGATGCCCACAATGGTGATCAAGCACCCAATCCATTTAATGGCACTAAAACTTTCATGGAGGACCAGCCAGCACATGATGAAGACGGTCACTGTCTTTAGATGGCCCATCACCTGGAATTCTACAGCTGAGAATTTACCAAGGCATAGGTATTGGGAAATGTTGACGAGGATGGCAAGTGCTGCGGATACTATCACGCCACCAGCGACCCACGGATTCCACGCAAACTCTGTGATCCATTGGTTGGATACTTTATAGTCCATGAGCGGGCTGAGAGTCAAGAGCACCATGCCAGAGTATGGGCCGATGAATGCGATCAGATCCATGGCACTCTTTTGCTTCTCACTCTGCATCTTCCTCACGGATATCTGTTGTAGACTGCTTGTCAGGACAGACATCATGGCAATGGTGAATCCTGTCACACTAATATCGAATTCCAAGTCATTAATTGTTCTGCAATATAATAGTAAGAAGAAGAAAATATTGTTAGGAATGAGGTAAACAGGACAACGACAAGAAAAAAAAAGGGAAAAACACAATCACTACTATATACACTAGTAGTATTCATTAAAAAAAGGGTAAGTTAACACGTACACCAGGGCAACTCCAACAAGGGTCTGCACAATGCACCAGATTCTCCAGCGTGAGAGTGGTGTGTTCAAAAGAAAGTACTCAATCACTGCCGAGCAGGGAACAATCAAAAGCTTTGTCGCCTGCATATATTATGTATATATATAATAGTCATAAGAAAAGAATCATCACCATCGTCTTCCGAGATTATACATGTACTATATAATACATTGAAGCCGAAGATGGAATGAAGCATGGCATGTCTCTCGCACCTGGTAAAAGCTGACTGTATTCAGCATCAGGGACAGATTCAACGACACAAGCGATGACACAGCCCACAGAATCAACAGAATGGTATCAAGCTCAAATGTAAAGCTCGCACTCCCAGCATTCCCTTTCAGAACCCTGACAAAAGCCCCACTGGCCAACAAGTGAAACCCTGTCAGAAGCGAAGGAAACTTGAACCCCCACGATGACATCACCAATCTATTTATAAATACTATCATAACACTAGAGGAAATATTTAATCCCAAGAACAAGGACTTTTTCGAAGCCACGCTCACAAATTCAGCGAAACGCATTTTGATTTTGTTGAATTAATTCTACCAACAGCAATCTTGCTGATATCGGTTCTTCTTCAAGCGTCACACATGACGTTATATACATATATATCTATATATTTATTGGCATAGCAGTGCTGTTAAGGAGTGCACTTGGGTTTGTACCAAGCGCTCTACCTGAGTGATGAAGATGCAGATGATGATGATGCGTCTTCTGAAGAAGAAGAAGAAGAACAGGAGGTTTCCTCCAGCCATTCACGTAGCAAGGTTTCTGCCCTGGCTCTTTGCTCATCATCCATTTGGGCATGTGGGTCAAAACGCACAGTGAGGTCAATGCCAAACATGTCATTGGGCCTGACCGCCCTGGAATCTCCTTGGGGAAAAAACGCACAGGTCAGATCCACATCTTCCTTCGTGCTCTCTGGGTACTGATCCATCAGTACCATCTCATATGCCTCTCGAAGACGTACGAATGCCTCATTGGCTCTCTGCTTGTCTTGATCTGTCCTCTGCCGATCAGGGTGAAGCTCCAGAGCCCTTCTCAGGTATGCTTTGCGAATCTTTGAGACGCTCGTGGTGGCTGTCTCGCTGATGCCAAGGATGGATAATGCTGTTCTATAATCCATCATGCATCGTGCCATGTACGATTCAGGTGACAACAGTTCATGTCAGGGCAAAGAACCAGCTACTATACCAACCCCGTTGACCATTCGGGGTCGCCGTCCTATGTACGTTACTATTTGCGTCTGGGACTGCACTGGGGCATTAAGTGATGTTATTATAGTTATTTGAATATATTCCCTCACCAGGAGTAGCATGTTCTGATTGGATTGAGCCATTATGTTCGAATCTTGATGAACGTTGCTGAAACCATATTTGTTGCATAGGAAGGTGTCTATGATTCCATGCCATGGTTTATAGCTAAACTAATTCACTCGTAGTATTCTCAGCAATGAACTGGAAAGGTTCTTTCCATTAAGGAGTACCCAGTCACAACGAAGAGTATCATGTTGCGTAGAAGTGCACATCAGATGACCGCATCTGTTCTGCAACGATTGGTACGCTATTTTTCTTCTTTGTTTTCCTTTATCTGTCACTGTAGATCACTCAGAGTATGGTTTGAATTGCTTTCTATTACAGGGCTCTGTGGATGATTGTCTTGTTGCCACGCTGAAGAGAAAGGGTTTGGGGCGGTGGTGTGTTTTCACTCAAGGAACTCAACAGGTGCAAGGGCGATATTTTGGGGCGACTCGGAGGGTATTGGATGGGTCGAAGAGTGGCCCTACCGGAATGGAAGAAAAGAAGGATGAAAAGTCTATCGACTTGATTCTTGTGGGGAGTGGCATACTTGGGTTGGCCATGCTGGCCAATGCTGCTGGTGTGTTTGGAGGGGGTGGTGGTACGAAGCAGCCATCTGATACCAATGGTGCCACAGATGGATTAAAAGATTCTGTAGTGTTATCACATGATGATGATGATAAAGGTGAATACCTGGTCCATGATGAGCATTCTCATGACGATGCCTCATCAACAGAGGAGGTGCAGAAGAGGCATGATGATGATGGTCGCAAAGAAGAGGAGGACCATGGGCACATGCAGCAACATAATAAACAAGAAGAAGAAAAAGAGGATGGTGTGACAATCCTAGACAGCCACCATGTTTTAGGGTCTATTGAATCTGTGTTGACAAAATCGGCTGATACAATGTTACAAGAGGATGCAGATAATGTATCAACTAATGAAACCACCCAAGAACAAAAAGAAGAAGAAGAAAAGGAGGAGGACAAGAAGGAAGAAGATTCCCATGCTGCTGTACATGATGCTACAGCCACCATGTCTGCTATTTCTTCTGCCATGGCAGATACAGCCGGGGAGTCTGTGGCAAGTTCCATCATTGGAATGTCCAGAGAGGCTGCTGCTCCGTCATCTGAAGCAGACGAGAAGAAGGAACCAAAAGATTCTCCAAAAATCGAGGCACCGACTGCCATAGTATCTGATGCAACAAATATTTCTGCATCTCAGTTGTTGCAAATGGCATCAATGTACGAAGAAGAAGGCAACGTCATGTGGGAGTCATTCCCAGCACGGCACAGGCAGGCAGAGGCAGATGCAAAGACTCTCACATTGCTCTTGAAGGAAACAAAGGATGCATATGATAGAGAGTTACAGAGATTGCATTCGAAAGCCAAGAAATTCAAAGCGACTCTTGAGAATTTGGAACATATGCAACACGAGTTGTTGGAAGCACAGGCAGCAACGCTGCATATTGATCACGAAAAGAACATTACTAGAGAGCGGGTGAAACGCCAAGAGGTTCTGGATTCTGCCCGGATACAGTTAGACTCTCTTTCTGTGGCTTTATCACGACAGTCGGAAAGAGCCAAGAAGAGTCAAGAAGCGCATAAAATGTCGAGCGCAGTGTTCCATATTCGTGATGCCTTGGAGCATGGCAGGGATTTTTCAGCATCAGTTGAGTACTTGAAGAGTCTCGATGACAAGGTGGCCAACATTGCACTTGAAAACATAACAACAGATAGACCAATCAAGACAAGGCATGTGTTGCTCTCTGAATTTGAAAAAAGAGTCAAACGTCCTGCCATGGAGCTGTCCTATATTCCTCAAGGGGAAGGAGGAGGTATGATGACATCCTTGGTCGCAAAGATTGCCAATGCTCTGAAAATCGACAATGAGGACGATACTATGCAAAGCTTCGTGGGTACGATAGAGCAAGGCGACATCCTTGAGGCAGCAGAGCAGGTTTCTAAACTGGTAGAGGGTACAGTGGCGGCACATGCCATTCGGGATTGGTTGCACGATGTCAAGACAAGCTGTGCAGCTGCCCAAGCATTGAAAATCTTAGATGCCAGAGCTGCTTGCTTATCATCTCCGTATCATAATCATTAAAGAATTGAATGAAACAATAAAAAGAATGATGGCATTCGTTTGATTGAATTCAAAGCCTGGCTTCATGGGCTTGCCCTGGCAAACCTGCCTTTGACTCGAACTCTCTTGTCAGCATTATCCTTCCTCATTTGATATCGAATGTGCTTCTTAAACGACCTTTTGGCCTTTTTTTTCCTATATCGCTCGACACAGGCCATACGCTTGGCAGAGGACTTGGATGCAGATGATGATGATGCCTGTGGCATGGCTCTCCTGCTGCTGCAAAAATGGGTCCCCTGCCCGGAATCGGAATCTGAGGAAGGCACCACGCCCGGAGGAACGTGCGCAGCAAAATAAATGGGCGTCGCAAAACACTGATACGGCATCATGGGACCATTGACGTACCATTGCATTGGGAACGGCACCTGTGGGTATTGCTGCTGCTCCTTTGAGCAATAGTACCCAAACTGATTGGTATTGCTGCCATCATTGTTATCCCTCACTGGTTGCTGCACCATACCGTGCCTCTGTTGCATTTGAATTTGCTGCATGCTCGGTACCATGGGGGGCATCATATTGGGCTGCATCATTGTTGAGTTGTTGTAGCTAATTGGCATTCCATTCACAACATGTTGCTCCTTCCCACCACAATGATGTCCCATCTGGTCTCCTCCACTACCTTCCTTTCCTAACGGGATATTGCTATTCACGAGACCCATTGGCATACAT